GAAATACTTAGGGAATTCTCTGAGTAAAATGGGGGAACCTGGTATTTTATATACTAGCAGGAAAAAAGATGCAGACAGACTTAGCTCAGTTTTAAATTTATAAGCAACCAGATGAGGAAGAATCAGTGTTGCTCATTAGTTACCCTGGGACTGTCTAGTTCATATAGAAATTCGAGGGTTTATAGCTGGTTCATAAATTGTGGTAATTGTTGTCCAATAGCTAATAAGTCTACATTTTAATGAGTCGGCTTCCATAGACTCTCCTCAATATGTGTGATTAGGCAGCCAATCCGGGGCTCCATTAAGGTCCAGAAGCCTAGATTCCAGGAGTATGAAGTCTTGCTGTATTCTGCCCTGTCCAGTTCACATTAAAGGGTGCTCATTTCTGGGGACTAAAGTTCATGAAAGATGTTGATCAACTGGAGAACTTCTAGAGAAGGGCAATCAGAATGGTGAAGGGCCAAAAGGACCAGTTGGGATGTTTGGGTCACAGATTAAAAGAATTGCCAGGGGAATAAGAGAGTCAAGCATTCAAAGGCCTGTCATGTCGAGGAGGCATTAGATTTACTCCATTTGGCCCCAGAGGGAAGAATCAGAAGCAATGGGGAGAAGTTGTAGAAAAGGCAAATTGAGGCTTGATGGAAAGAAAACTTTCCTAATAATCGGGAAATGGCCTACCTTGAGAGATTCTGTCTCCTCAGAGCTCTGCAGAGCAGAGACTAGACAGTCACTTATCCAGTGAGTTCTAGTGAGAATTTTTTTTCCAGTTTTAGGTTAGACTAGAGGTCTAACTGCCAAGGTTCCTTCCAAATCTGAAATCCTGAGCTTCTGTGATCTGGAGAAAAAAAAAGTATGAGTCACTGGGTCATCAGAGTGCATACTCTGCCTCCACCCCTCCCTCTACCCCGAGGCACAGAACTGACTTTAGAATCAACTTATTTTAGCACATGGCCCCACACTGGGCAATTAGGTGACCTAAGAGGAGGACTAGATTCCAAAGCCTGGGGTTGGGTTAAGAAGCAGCAGGTTAATAACACATTTGGTATTTGCAGACCTTTCTAGGCCATCAATGCTAGTATAGTTGGGTTATATCATGTGATGTTCACTATTTAAAACTCTAATCACAAAGTTTAATAAAATTAGAAAGCTGTAATGATTCTTTCAGGTAAAAGATGGCCTGAAGGGTATTCTGCTCCATACCCTCAGATACAGGGTTACTCTCTACTATTTAGGCTTAAGTTCTGTTGTACCTAAGGATTCTACTCTAAGTAAGTTAGTATGAAGCTGGACCACAGGATGACTGGATAGTAATTCTTGTCCCTTTGTCTTACTTTAGCTGAGGAGTGAACTGGACCTCCGGGGAACATTATGGACCAGGCTCATTGCCATATGTTCTCCAGGATTGATCCTGCTGGCTCATTTATAATACCATTGCAATCTACCTATAAAATCAAGGCTAGGGAGGAAGGCTGGCATAATGAGCAGAGCACTGGACCTGGATTCCAAAGATTCCAAGGTCTGAGTTTCTGCTTTGACTTTACCGCTTACTAGCTCTGCAACTGTAAGCAAAAACTTCTCTCTGGGCCTCATTCTCACCATGTGTGAAATGAGGGGGTTAGATTGGCATTACTAAATGAACCTTAAGGTCCCTTCCAACTCTAACATTATGAAATCCCTAATAGCACTGACATTTTATGAATCATTTCCTTTAAACCACCATAATATAGCTTAAACCAAATTTATTTTCCTTGAATTTCTTTAAAGGAAAAAAAAAATCACTTGACACCTTAAAGTCCGCTAAGTAGATGTAGATGGCTTTATTGGACACCAAAAACAAGCAAACAAACAAACTTCATATCTTCTACTATATAGAAGCAAGATGTCCAGAAGAGGGCAACCGGAATGGTGAAGGCCATGGATTCTTGTTCTCTCAAGATCGGCAGAAGGAACTGGGGATATTTAACCTAGCAAAAAGAAAAATGTACTGGGGGAGGGGGGTGTGAGTTCGGTCTTCAAATATTTGAGGGACAATTGTGAAAGAAGGATTTAACTTCACTTTAGGAATAATAAATGGAAGTTTCAGAAAGGCAAATTTAAGCTTCATGGAGAGAAAAAAATTCTCAGCATTTAGAGCTGTCCAAGACTAGAATAAGCTGCCTTGGGAAGTAAGGAGCTCTTGGAGATCTTCCTTGAAACAAGACTGACTGAGGTGGGATGCTATAGCTCTCACTGAAAGTTTCTGGAAACTTAATAAAGAAGCAGAAGGCTTTATGATGATTGTTACCTCATAGGGCCTCAGTTTCCTCATTTATAAAATAGGAATTGGACTCACCCATCTTTGTGGTTCCTTCAGCTTCTGAAGCTACCAACTTGGGATCTATGTTTTAGAACAGATGATAGAATTGTGATTCCAGGGATTGAATATCCAATTTGTAGAAGGAGAGAGATGAAACAGTGAGTGTTGCCTATTGCCTTCATGAGGCGCTATCTGAGAGATGTCATCCTCTTTGATGTGCTGCGGCCTCAGGCTGCATTGAGTCCTCGTCCCCCAGGACAGAACTTCTTTTACACTGGATGGAATTGACCTGTGGAAGAGTTGGAACAGGGGAAGAAAACCGGATGATCTTCACTGGAGAAATGCAGAGACCCTTTAGAGGAGCCTTGCCTCCTGACCTGGCCGCCTTCTAGAGGCAGGCCACCCAGACCACAGGAACTGGAACAAAGAAGGGGCCTATCATTGTTTTCTTTATACTCAGCCATCCCTAGATTTTTGACTCTGACCCTTGCACATGTATTTGTCTAGCCCCTGAGTCATTGCACAGTATTCGCAGTATTGTGAAACTTTCATTTCTTTGGAGACTTGTTATATTAGAAAAATTGTTCCAAAGAAAGCAACAATTATGACATAAGCACATCTGGCTCTTGCAAATTATTCCTTATTAAGCTTTCATTTAATTACATGTGCTGAAAGGTCTGCTTTTGATTACTGTAATTTTTTTTATTTGTCCATCTGAATGATAGTAATGTTGGAAATTACATACAAACCACCTGGTTTTTTTCCCCCTTTTCCTTTCCCCACCCCCACAACTAATAAGGCAAAGTTTTAACTGATTTCCATGTGGTTGAAGAGGCAGGCTCTTCCTTATGTGAGATGGATGGAGCCTTTGCCACTGGTAATTCAAGGTGAGGATTTAGTTGTTCTTAATCAGGAAAGAAGACATTTTAGTGGATTTCCCAAGCAATTATTCAAGTGTTCATTGCTGCCCCAAAGTTCATCTCTTCGCTGCCCATAGTTCTGGGTGATGATGCCTGGATTTGCCTCATGGAACACCATCATTTCAAAAGAATCATAATTGCATGTAACCCAAAGGGCAATGGGAAAAAATAGGAATGGTGGGTGTAGTCAGGTTGCAGTGTATTACCAATGAACATGGTATAAAAATGCATCATCAACACCCATGATGATACAGAAAGAAGTGGGCTTATCCTTTAATATTACTAGTAACAACAGTCATGAGAACTCACATTTTCTGTAGTGTTTTAAGGCTTATGAAAGGTTCTCATCACAATAACACTGAGGTAGATGTTGTAATATTATTATTCCCATTTTACAGATGAGGCTCAGAGAGGTTTAGTAACCTATCTATGGACAGCAAATATATAACCCAAGTATCTATATTCATGGTATCCAAAGAGGAAAGCCCCCATTATAGTGTATTGGATATGGGGGCATTTGTGGAAAGATATAGACAAGAATTGTATAGGGTAATAGGATTTTAGAACTGGAAGGGACTAGATTATTTGGTCTAAATCCCTTTTTACAGGTGGGGAAACTGAGACCCAGAGAGGCTAAACAACTTGCCCAAAGTTACACAAAAGCAGAGCCATAATTTGAACCCAAGTCCTTTGTCTCCTAAATCCAATGGTCTTCCCGCCATACCATCTTGTCTCCTTCCCTGAGAAGGCAAGGTTGTAATTTGCACTGATTTGGGGGAGTGAATGGACTGAGGCACAATATTCATACTCCTGAAATAGCAGATCCATTGAAATTATCATAGTATCCCAGGTAATAAATTGTGTTAGCTATATTTAGCATTATGGGAAAGGGACATACATCTTTTTCAACTTTGACTTCAATAAACATGGCTTTGTTGTAAGGTGTCCAGATTCCAGTACCATGCAGGTCAAGAAGTCTGTCAAAGGAAGACCCAAGGCAGAAAGTACTCTAGAGGGAGAGGTGATTGAGCAAAAAGGCAGTGGGAAAGAGAGGGAACCCCTGATGTTTTCAGCTGATTGCAGGGCTGGGGGGAAGGAAGTAAGGGAATGAATTCCATTGACCATGACATAGGCTGGCTAGATTACCAGATGTCAGCTCCTTTGTCTGAGGGGAACACCTTTCAGTTGGTCCTGTGGCTTGGAAAAAAAAAAAAATCATACCTCAGAGCAGTTATACCAAGTAACACAGGGTCCTTTCCCATTGCTGAGGACCCCTCTTCGGGTGATGTGGATGGGAAGAAATAGGCTTTGACAAGGAAACTGCGTTTCCTTTCAGATATCAGAGGAAATGGGAAGAAAGGGGGTTTGACCATGGCCTACTTAGGAAAGAGACCCTTGAAAACCTAGTAACTCCTTGTGGGTTTTGGGATCCTGGAAGAAGAGTGAATTCTCTGGGATTGATTTTATTTCAATGTTAGTGATAATTTCACCTGCAGAGTTAAGTCTGGCCCAGCCTGTACAGAGCAGGAAAAGTGAGGGATGCTCTCACTGTACATTGAAGTCTTGAGAAAGGTTCAGCCAGGCTTCTCATCAGGGGATTCAGGAAGCTCGCATAGCCAAGCATGTGAGGAAAGATGCCCTTTTCTCAATACACCTAAGAAGAACAAGGTGGTGAAACTCTCAGGAGAAAATTAGTATCTAAGAACCTGGTATCCTGGTAAGTCTTTCCAAACTCCACCTCACCCCCATTGAGGAGAGAAATGTTTGCCTTTCCTGTTTTGCAGCAGCTCTATGCGGCCCAGCTGGCCAGCATGCAGGTGTCACCTGGTGCAAAGATGCCGTCTACTCCGCAGCCACCAACCACAGCAGGGGCGGTCTCACCTACTGGGATGAAAAATGAAAAGAGAGGGACCAGCCCTGTAACTCAAGTTAAGGTACTGCCTCTTGTGGGGGTATAGGGAAAGGGTTTAGAAAATGGCACTGCAAGAAGCCGAGAAGCCTGATTCGTGTTTGGTAGTGAACTGCAGGGAATCCAGCCATGCAAAGAAGCCTGCAATAGACATCCATTGTGGTTAATTTCATGAGCATTGACAAACAGGTGTTTCCCTATTGAAAACAATAGTGCCATATTGTGAGATCTTTACCCACATCTCCATATTCAACTCTGCAAACTTGCTTCTCAGGAGCATCTTTCCCTTTTCCAGAATTTTGGCTTTTATTTTAGAATATTCATGAGTACAAATGGCAGGTTTTTAGTAGGCCCTCAAGACTTTGCTCCACGATTCTCAGACATGTGCCTGTTTCCTGCTCATGGATAAAATCGGAACAGGAGGAGCCCAGGTTCAGCCCATCCATGCTTAGAAAGATGAAGGGAAAAGATTCCAGGCTGTGCTTTCTCAAGTTGTGAATATTTCTCACCACAACCAAGTGTAAATATGGTCCTTGGGGAATGAGGAGGAATGGGTTGTGCCATCAGCCATCTCTTTCCAAACTTTGGAGGACTGCACAGAGCTGCTGGGTGTTCTGATGATCTAGACTGTGGCCAGGTATAATTCCTTGTGAGGAAGCCACACAGGGCTTGGCAGCAGCATAGAAATAACATGGTATGCCCCTCCAACTTCATGGTGCAGCTGGTACCTATAGGTGGTACTGGTTCCTTTTATTATAGTATTTGATTTCTACGTGGTATTTCTAAAGCCAAACAGACCAACAGAAATGCGTGTGCTTGGTAAAATATCCTCTTCTGTGAAGAGACTGTAAAGATCGAACATTTGCTCTTAACATTTGTCAAAAGCACTTGAGTACTCGATATATTCTGCAATTATTCAACCTGGTCTTAGAAGATATTTGATAGGTCTCAAATAAGAATAGGCTTGATGCTAATAAGAGAAACAGGCAGAACTTGATACTGGCAATGGCAGATTTGATGAAACAATCTGACTTTGCAAAATTGCCAGTGAACTTTTGAGGTCACATAAAAGTTCTTAAAAAAACAACAACAACCACCCTCAGAAATTAAAGGCCAAGAAAGCAAAGACTGTGCTGAGAGTATCATGAAGAATTAGCATATTTTTGATGAAATGAAATTTTCATAGAATACATATAATTAGAGAGAAAGCATGATATAATGCATAAAGGGCTAGCCTTGGAATCAGGAAGACCTGTGTTCAAATCTTACCTGACACATACTAATTGTGTGATCATGGACAAGTCATTTAATGCATTAGTTCTCCAGGCAAATCTCTAAGATTGTGTTTTGCATATGAGTCGAAAATCTGCACCGGTGAAGAAACTTTCCACACCAGGAGTTCCCTTTGATGATGAAAAAACAGGTCCAGATGTCTTTTGCCCCACCCCATCAAGACTTCAAACCCAATCCATATAATTAGAATCTTTTGAGAAAAAAAAAGTAGTCCACAGCTTTTGCCCCATTGTTCCAAATACTGGAATTTGATGACCAGGAGCTCTGAAAATAAGCCCGTGGCCAGTTCCCATTTCATAAGACAGCTCTGACTATGGGTCATCCCCATCTCATTTATTCACATCCTTTGTATTCACATTGGCAAAGGAGAGGCAGAATTCTCCACTGCGAAGCTAGGCCACTTTGTTTAACTGTAGTTGCCATAGTGTGAGAGATATCAAACACCAGTGACTTGGTATATTGAATATTGAGTACTTTAATGCGCAAAAGTCATTTCACAAGTGAACCAGCCAAATGGATCTGTCCCAAACCAAACCTTTACTGGATGAGTAAAATTTTCCCTGGTTATATTTAAGCATATATCTGCTGGAATGGAAGCCAGTACCATTCCAACTTTGTTGGCCAGCTGAATTCTATTACAGAGTTGACCACATGCAAATTCTTGGGGGTTTCCCTACATAATTTAACTCAACTATATTTTATTCTACTAAAAAGGAAGCCTTCTCCTTTATATTTATTCCATTTACATGTAGCATCATAGGGGCAAAAAAAAATAGATAAAAGACTCAAAGTAAAAGTTGTTGGGGGAGGGGAGAGGGCTACTTATTCCTGAAAAGAATATTGTCCTTCTTTGTCCTTGAGAATTGTGAGACTGCAACGTCATGTGCTGTGTCTGTCTAACTGAGTTGGCATCAGGGTGGATTTATCTCCACACACTTTGGGATGGATCTTCATTTAAAATTCCAGAATCAATGTCCCAAGGGCCACTTTACTTTGTGACTGATGCCACAAAACAGTTTGCCAAAGGTTTCAATTCAATCCATGTTCAATACAACCAGCAATGAAAAAGTGACTACTAGGTGCCAGATACTGGGTGTGCAAAGACTTAAAATAAGACAGCCGCAGATGACATTCTATTGAAAACCATGAGGAGAGCCTCCCAAATGTCTCAGGAATACACTTTCCCTGCTTTTACATGAAATATTTTGAAAGCTGGATTAGCATAGGGAGGGTAGTTGAAACACAATTGCATGGGATGATGCTAAGTAAAGGTAAGATGGATGCCATAAATATTGTTCTTTGGTGAGGGTGGGAAGAAATACAAATTTTTTTTCCTTCAGATGGGGACTCTGAATGATGGACTTGGACTTAGGAAGATGCAGTTCAATCTTGCCTCAGACACTTATTAGCTATCTGACCTTGGGAAAGTCACTTCAGTGTTATTTGCCTCAGTTTCCTTATTTGTAAACTGAGAATAATAATAACAGCTTCTTTTCAGGGTTGTAAGGATCAAATGAGACGAAATATAAAGCACTTTATAAATCTTAAACATTTTGCATTACTACTACTACTTCTACCACCACCACCACCACCACCACTACCACTACTACTTCTACTACTACTACTACTACTATTCCTGCTGCTGCTGCTATTACTACTACTACTACTATTATCACCACTACTATTACTAATATTACCACCTTTCCAAAATTCCTTTGACTTAAAAGTGATGGGGAAGAAATCTTAATTTAGTAAATGATTATATTTAAAAATATGCCCTCAAGCTTTTCAACAAAATTCGATTTGTTTCAACAACAACTCTAAGCCTCTCTACAGATGATGGTGAACTCTGAGAAATCAGGGTATTCAGATAGTTTGATGCCTTAGTTTTAATTACTACCAGAGCGAGGATCACTGTGAGCCAGGCTGACCAGTGCTTCTTCCTCTAGAGGAGAGCTAACTCAGTGCAGTTTTCATGCCCAAGAATCTGCCTTCTTTCCTCTTTGGGTTCTCTTTGCTCTATCTTTGCTCATTCCCTTGTGCATTGTTTGATCTGGAAGGGCCCTTTGGATGGTTCTAACACCCTCATTTTAAAGATGAGGAAACTGAGGTCTAGAGAGGGAAAGTGACAGTTGGCTAGTGAGGGGCAGGGCTAGGCCTACTTTTTACATGGTTTAGGGCACAGGGGGGGAGGTAATTCTCTGTCCCCAGTCCTGCTGTGTGCTCTGAACAATGACGGTGAAAGCCTTTAACTATAGATAGCTCTCTCTCAGACCCCAGGGGCCCTAGCAGCATGGGACTCATTATTTCCCAGGGACTTTTCTTTTAACATATAACAAAGCAATTCTTAGTTCTGAACATTTAAGTGAAAGTCTATATAATGTGTGTAGACTCTTTTCCTCTCCCATTCCACCCCTCCCACCTCTCACCCATTAGAGTACTTTTGTATTGGACGTTCTCCAGCTGAAGAAGTAGGCTGAAAGACAGGCTCTCAAGGCCTAGCTGAAATAGAATTAAAAGTGAGAAATTTGTCCCGTGTTCAGTGCGGAAGGGACACTGTCTCAAAATAAACATTCCATTAAAAATCAGCAGTGCAGAATGTAAAGTGAGAGAAAGACACTGTTTTCAGCATGTAAAATAAATTGCATATAGCATGGCATGTAAAATGTAATTACAATGCTTGCTTGCTCTTTTCAAAAATTAATTTTAAACATGGGGAGAGTCCAGGATATAGACCATGAAGAGTGCACACACCCAGAAAGCCACATGGGAGACACAGCCAAGCTGCAGTGTCCTGGGCAGGGGCCCAGGAGGCAGGAGTGGGGTGGGGGGTGGGCGGTGAGGAGCTTGCCATGTTTCCATTTTAAAAAGGCTCGCAATTGTTTAATCTAAAATTGTGATTTGGAAAAAAAATTAGCCACAGAGCCTATTCACAGTCAGTCCCAGGATCTTTACAGGGAGAACATGCACAGAAGCACGGAGGAGCTCCTAGAAATTTTAAATAATTCTTTGTAAATGCCCTAGGTTAATTTGGATCTCTGAAAACACATTAGGAAATTAAGCTGTAATGTGAGCTAATTCAAATTTTAATTTGGCAAAAAGAATGATCCAACTACATAGTTAATGTAAATAGAAGCATAACACAGAGAAATTAATGAGGTTTCCTTTCGATGAATCTTCGAGGAAGTAGATAATTAGCTTCTTTTGTTATTATTGGAGGAGAACGTGGCATTGTCTCCGAGGTGTAAAATAACTGTGGCTTACTAAGTGATAATGTGTTTCATTTGTCTTGCTTTTTTTTTTCTTTTTAATAATTATTTATGTTAAACTCTCGTAGGATGAAGCCGCACAGCCCCTGAATCTCTCCGCCCGACCCAAGACAGCCGAGCCGGCAAAGTCCCCAACATCTCCCACGCAGAGCCTCTTCCCAGCCAGCAAAACCAGTCCGGTAAACCTGCCAAACAAGAGTGGCATTCCCAGCCCCATCAGAGGAAGCCTGGGAAGAGGATCCTCTTTAGGTAAACGTAAGCTTGAGCCCAGGGCAAGAACAATGGCTCTGCCTCCCGAGAGCCTGGTGCTCCTATCCCAGCGACCTCAGACGAGTCATTTTGCATTCGTTTCCTCCCCTTTCAAATGAGGGCCTTGGATTAGATGAACTAGGGTTGGTTGCCTTCCAGTGCTAAGTCCCAAGGTCCTCCAAGGTTGGATGGGAAGAGGGCTAGTGCCTGGGTTCGAATCCTGGCCCCACGACTTACCACCTGGGTGATCTTGGGCATGTCTCTGCTGCTCTGAAAAATGAAGGGCTTGGATGACGTGCTCACAATCTGTGGATTTGTAAGGAAGGAATGTAAGAAATGAAAGAAAGCAAACTTTAGGTTCAAATTTCAGGTCTTTCATGATAACACCTGTGTGCCTTTGGGCAACTCATTTTGTCTCCCTAAATTCCCTCACTTATCAAATGAGAGACTGAGCTCAATCATATGCAAAGTCTCTTCCATCCCGAAATCCTTTGTAAAAGGCTGCACTGTGGGCTACCTCCCTCTAATCCCCCGCCATGACCTGAGGGGAGGTGGAGACAGAGTCCAGATATCCCCTAGACCAGCTCATTTGTTCCACCGGGAAAGCAAGGTGGGCATTTTCAGTATCTGAGTCAGGACGCCAGCACATTAGGCTCATCTGATTAAAAGGTTTGGTTTGAGAGAACAGGGGCAAGGATAAAACGTTATTTTAATGTGAACATAGTCAACATGCAAATGTCCTGGGGAACATTTCACCTGTAATTTTATGTGTGTAGTAGATGGAGGATTAATCCACAATAATGGTGTGCGGATGTACATGGGTAGGAATGGGTAGGGGAAAAAAAAAAAAAGAAAGAGGAACGGGTCTCAGTGTGTCCCAGTGGGAAGAAAACTAGATTTGGAGACAGATACACTGGGTTTGAGCCCCAGTCTGGTCACTCATTGTGTGAACTTGAGTAGATCACTTCCCTTCTTGGACCTCAGTTTCTGTATTAAATGAGAGATTTAGACCAGATTATTAAATTTAATTAAATTCAGTGCCTACTATAAGGTTAAGAGGCATCATGGAGTAGCTAGGGAGGCTGCTTTGGAGTCAGGAAGACCTGACTGTTTTACACACACACATACACACACACACATACACACACACACACACCCCAATAGCTGTATGACTGGTCAAGTCATTTAACTTTTCAATGCCCCTAAACAGGCCTTCTTAACGTGTGTGTGTGTGTGAGAGAGAGATAGAGAGAAAGAGCGAGAGAGAGAGAGAGAGAAAGAGAGAAAGAAAGAGTGAGAGAGAGATGGAGACAGACAGACAGAGACAGAGATAGACAGACTCCTTTGGGAGTCCAGTGAAGCCTGTGGATTTCTTCTCAATAATATTTGTTAACTACATTCATCATTGAAGGAAGTACTATATTTTGGTTGGAGGTTAATGAAAATAATGATGTGTATATTTTTTCTATCCAAGTTCACAAACCCCTTGAAACTTATATGTGGATCCCCCAGGTTAAGAATCCCTGCGCTAAAATAAAACTACAGAACAATTGCTGATCTGCATTTTGTTAGATGAAGTTTTCTCACTGAGTGTTCCCTATACCAACAAAATCACGGATCCAGTTTAAAAAAAAAGTATCAGAAACTGTACTAATCACTTGGGGATAAAAAGATAAGTCTCTTGTCCTTCTAAAATTTATATTTATTTGTATCTATTTATTTGCTAAATGATTAAGTTGATTTTTTTAATTACTCAGAGTTAGGTTGAGAATAACATGGGAATTCTTAACCCCCCCCACATGGATGTGTGCATGTACACATGTGTGCATACCAGCATGTGCCCCTACCCTCCAGCCCCTCCTGCCCAGTGTGTTCTTGTGTGCGTTGCCAGCTGGTTTTTCCCAGCTGGCTGGCTGGTGTGGTGACATTAAGTTTGAACATGCTTGCGTCTGTCTGTCTGCTGGAGAGTGCTTGAGCTTGGCTGTAGACAGGTGGATCAAGTTAAAACTTTACCACAGCCGCCTAAACTTACTAGGCAGTGAATAATTGCTATCTTTTGGTCTAAAACTGGAAAATCTTATCCAAAGTACTCATCTTGCCTACAATAAAAATGCAACTCATGGAGGAAAATTAGTTTGTTTGATATAGATACTTCTCCTCTCTCTCTCGAGATCGTTTTTTCCTCTCTGTGTTCCATGGATGGCAAGGAGAGTCAATACTGAGCCTCCCTCCCTTCCCAGCTTTGTCCTTCTGTTAACGCTGTGCCCACGCAGGAAGCCCTGCCGCTGTTCCAACGGGGGCTGAGAGCAGCAAGTGCTGGGGTTGGGGGGGGCAGGCAGGGACTGGCATTCTCTTTGTAAATAACTTAGGCAGCACAGTCTGCAGAATGCCTCATTAGCTAGCTAGCTGCAGCAGTTTGGAGACTGATCCTGGCTTCAGTAGGGAGTACGATGGATCACCTCCCTCCCATCCTTTCCTACACTGGTTGGACTGATTGACTCTCTCTCTCTCTCTCTCTCTCTCTCTCTCTCTCTCTCTCTCTCTCTCTCTCAGTCTCTTGGTCTCTTTCTGTGTTTGTCTGTCTGTCTCTGTCTCTCCCGCTCCCTCTTCCTTTTCCTCTCCCTCTCTTTTTCTCTTTACCTCTTCACTTGTTTACTCATGAACACATCCTTGATGCTTTCCTATGGGATACTGAAGACCGTTCTCCTACAGCACACCCACACCTTCCTATCAAAATGTAGAACTAATCATCTTCAGAGGTAGAGAGAAGTAAGGTTGGCCACTGGGTATGTGCCTTAGTGCCAAACTGGCACTGTAAAAGCTAAGTGGGCCAAGAGTGCTAGGAACTCCCCAAGTGGATAATAATAATAATAATAATAATCTTAGCACTAAAGATGCCACATGGTATAGTGAGTTTGTGCTTATAGGATTGGACTTAGAGTCAGGAACACTCAGGTTAGATTCTTTCCTCAGACATTTGCTAGCTGTCTGACCCCGGGTAAGTCATAACCTCCCTGAAATAATTTCCTCATTTGTAAAATGGGAGTGAGGGCAGCTAAGTGGGGCCATAGTGCTCAGAGTGCCAGGCCTAGAGCCAGAAAGACTCATCTTGAGTTCAAATCTGGCCTCAGGCGCTTATAACTGTGTGACCCTGGGCAAGTCACTTAATCCTGCTTGCCTCAGTTTCTTCATCTGCAAAATGAGCTAGAGAAAGAAATGGCAAACCACTCCAGTATCTTTGCCAAGAAAACTCCAAATAAGGTCATGAAGAGTTGTATAGGATTGAACAACAACAAAAATAGGAGTTATAATGGCACCCACCTTGTAGGTTGTCATGAAGATCAAATGAGACAGCATATGTACAGCACTTTGCACACTCTGAAGGATAAAGATCCATGTCAACTCTGATTATTATAACTATTCATTTAAATAGCTCACAGTGAGGTGGCATTTGATGTTTCTACAACTCTTTACAAACATTAGCTGGAGTAGGTGGTTGGTACGAAACACCAATACTCAAAAATTCTTTGTGATAGATGACATTGATATGGGCCCAGCCTCCAACTATAAGGAGGCTCCTGGAGGCACTTTGTGTGCCCATTTTACAGATTCAGAAACAGAAGGTCAAGAGAAGTAAAGCTTTCAGCTGGGAGCTTGTTTAAGGATAAGGCTACCTCTGTCCCTGCCTACTTGCCAACTAGCAACGGAAGCAGATTCGCTTCAATTTGAGCGGGTTTGCAGAAAGGATGCCGCTCCTCTTGCTGGGTGTTTGCATCAACCCCACCCCCCCAATCATTGAGAGGTTGCAGAATGTGGGGGGGAGGGGGGGAACAGAGAGCCACTTGCTTGTCCCCGCCGCTGACCCTATCCACACCATCTCGGATTTGGCAGGATATTGGGCCGGTGACGGTGTTGGCCGTGTCCTCGCCACGGCCCAAGCTTCCTAACAAGGGCATGCTGTATTTGCAGATATCCTGTCCAGTCTCAACTCGCCTGCCCTGTTTGGGGACCAGGACACGGTGATGAAAGCCATCCAGGAGGCCCGGAAGATGAGAGAGCAGATCCAGCGGGAGCAGCAGCAGCCGCACGGCATCGAGGGCAAGCTGGCCTCCATGAACAACACTGGCCTGAACAACTGCAGGAGTGAAAAGGTAAGAAGGAAAGGGGAGAAGCGCGATCACCCCTGCTTCGGTCCGGGCTCCCGGGCTCCCGGGCAGCGCCATGAAGGCGACCTCTGGCCACAGGGTGCCCACACCTGCGTCCTCGCGCCAGGCGAAGATTTGCTCTCCCCCGGCTTCATGAGCCGCTCCCACCGGGCGCACCTCACTCATTTTGCGATCGCTGATGTGGGTTTGCAGCGTTGTGGCCTCAAGCCCGAAAGTTCCAACAGAACCTGGAAAAAAACCACCCCCCCCCCAGCAAAAAAGAAAAAACCAGCCCCACGCATTTTTTCCACAGGCAGCGCCCGCTGGAGCTTGTACACGTACGCTAACAGGCTCACTGCACGAGTCTACGCCTGGGTGTGATGGCCTCCCCTTCCCCCTCCTACATGGACTCTCTTAAATTAGTGTATCTAGGGATGCGGTGGCCCAGAGATCCAGGCTGCAGGCACAGCGTGTCTGCGCTCACTTTCCCGGAAACTGGTGAATTTTCAAGACCACAGCGGACACTTTGTATCTGTAGGTTTCTGGGACAGGACTTTTCTTGCGCCTAATTGGCCAAGGATAGAGGGAAGAGAAGGAGGCCCCCAAGACGAGTGTCCCCCAGCTTTCTAGCCTCCCTGTCACTGGCTGCCTGAGCTGTCAATTCATATCAGGTCAGCCAGAGTGTAGCAATTAAAAACGATGGGTGGCTGACAGATCAGCCAGTCAGTGGCATTGATGGAAAGACAGAAGGAGGGAGGGAGGAAGGGCAAATAGTTGTCGCCCCCCGCCCCCCTCGTACTTCTTCTCCTCTCCCCCCCTCCCCTCAACATCTGTGTGTACTCTGTCCTACTACCAGGGTTACATCAGCAGACGATTTCTTTTGACAGGCCTGGGGAGATGTGAGAGGGTAAAAAGCAGATACTCTTATCTACTCACTGGTATTAGCCACTGACCTCTCAGCGTTAATTCAATTCAACGACAACAACAAAATGATCAAAACTTAATGTGTGCTGGGGATACAAAGACAAACAATCTTTGCCCTCAAGAAACTTACATTCAACTAGGGGGATGTTAGATATTTTGCTGTGAGTGGGTTTTGATGGGGTAACAAAAGGAAGAGGGAGAAAAGTACGAGGATCATGCCTGTCCGGCTTGGAGGTGCTGGAGGGACCAGGGGAAGAGGTCATAGCACCAAGTCATGGAACTGGTATGGAAAGAGAAGACTTGGGAAAGCATACACTCCCATTTGGTTTCCCAGGGTTTCCCAGCTCTGGAAAGAGTTGGAAGGGAAAGTTAGTGGTGGCCTCAACTTAGCTCTATTAACCTATTCTTAAAAAATCCTCTTACCTGCTGGAGTAATGAGGACTGAGCTGTCCAGTATGCCCTAGCTCTCCATAGGTAGGTTGCTAAATCGACAGTTTGCAAAGTGCTTTTTTCACAGTTCTGTTAGATGAGTAGAACAAAAACCACCATGCCCATTTGACACGTAAGGAACTCAGAGAGATGAAGTTAACTATAGTCACATATTGAAGAACCGTCTGTTACAGATTTTGAACCAAGGTCTTCCAACACCACGCTTTCTTCTTCACACATCCCCATGTTCTTACTCTACAGAAAGTCTTATTTGATTCAGATGACCAAAATTATCATTGCATAGTCTAAAGGGATGCTGCCTTGGGCATTTTTTTTGGCGGGAGGGAAATACATATACTGGCTTTATTTATGTTCTTTAAAGTGGAATATGTGTAGATGATGATTTGATTTGGAGAAAAACTGAAGGAAATTCAGTGTCATGATCAGAATTTAGTTTTCAAGCATGGCACACACTGTGCCAAGTTGAATCTGTGGCTTCGACCCCATGTAGTCAGGTAAATCTCTGTCCTCAGGAGTGAATTGGTGTTAGGCTGGAACTCCCTTCAAGTTCGTGATTCACCCCTTGGTCAGACACCACAACCCTATGATTCTAAAGGCTTGTGCACGGTTGGAATGGAATAGAAGCAGCAGCATAGGCAGGATCCAATTTGAATACTATAAGCTAATTCCAAGTTTCTTTTCATATGAATTTTGCCTCATTCATCTAAGAGAACAGGCGTTCTTAAGCCAGGGTCCACCAGTGCCCTTGGGGATATGTGGATAGATTTCAGGGGTTTCATGAACTTGGATGGAAAAAAAGAAAACTAATTTAAGTTTTCACTAAAATTTATGCTATTTCCTTCGATTATTTTAAAAAATGTTATTTTGAGAAGGTGTCCGTGAGGCTTCACCAGACTGCCTAAGGGGGTCCATGACCCCATATCTAGACTACATATAGACTATAAGAACATGAGATTCTGTAATTCTAAAGATTTTATTTTGGAAAGAATAGATAGAGACAGAAGAGAGTGGTAGGCAAGGGATGATATTCTGCCTTTCCCACTCCCAATTATATCTTTAAAACACACTTAAACCTGACATTTTGATGTGATATATACATAAAACCCAATTTTGTCCTAAATGTGATAAATCTATACATATGCATTTATTGCATATCAATGTAATGCATGTATATGCATCTATAATATGCTTGCAAGCATATATGTGTCTACAAATATATTTACCCCTGGAGATGTTACAGTCTGTTGGACAAATACATATTTTGGCACTTTAAAATGAAAGATTTTGGGCCTGCTAGGCGTTCTGGTTGGCTGTGTCCCTGGGTATTTAGGGATTGTAGCTTGTAGGCACAATAGTCTGTAACGGCACCTTGGGAGGAGTTCTGCTCCATGGTTGCATGGTGGCGTGTGCCCACGGGTTGGGAAAGGCCTGCCAGCACAAAGTACTTTTGGAAAAAGTGACTGGTCAGGTCTTCTTTGCTGTCTCAACCAACAAAATTCCACCATTTCAAGCCCAGTTCCAACTCCTCAGAGCAGTTAGACCCCACTCAAAGCCAAACTGCTCCCCAAATTTTTCTGTTTTGACACGTAATCCACAGAGTGTTTTATGTATGACAATTCAAGATTGAGTTTTCAGTTTCTTGCTTCTGAATCTTCTGCAGAGACAGAACTAGGACCCACCATTTGGAGCGAGATGAGAAGCTGGGCCTTGGTGGCGAAAGAGCAGGGATTATTGGCAGGGTCACTTTGGCTTTTGCAATTTGCAAACATGGTGCCTGAGCGTACCCCTAACGCTCGGATGGACAAGTTCTCTGCGTGTACGTGATGACAGGGTGTCTTCTGATGATAGTTGTTGTCATGATCTGATTCAGGTGTTCGCCTGTGACTAGCTTAGCTGAATGAATGTGATCTGAGACTCCAGGACTCACTGTTCAGGGGTGCAGGGAGAAGGCGGAGGTCCCTTGTCTCACCACACCGTAGGTTCACCAACTTGTACTAGAGGACTGTATTGACGTTGCATCTTTGCCGCCTCCCAAAGATGCTTAGAGGGATTAGAGTCAAACAGCTGCAGGGTGGGAGGGGATTGGAGAAGTCATATAGTGCAATTTCATTTTTTTGTTGTTGTTGTTCAGTCGTGTCCAACTCTTCGTTGACCCCATTTGGGTTTTTCTTCGCAGAGATACTAGAGCGGTTTGCCATTTCCTTCTCCAGCTCATTTTATAGATGAGGAAACTGAGGCAGACAGGGTGAAGTGACTTGCCCAGGGTCACACAGCTAGTGTCTGTGGTCACATGTGAACTCAGGAAGATGTCTTCCAGACTCCAGGCCCAGCACTCTATGCACTATGGCGCCACCTAGCTGCCTCACTCCATTTTTACAGATACAGAAATTGAGCCTAATTTGCCCCAAGTAACATGGGTACTTTTCCTCTTTGACCCTCAGTTTTCTTATCTGTGAAATGGGAATATAACATTTGTGCTATCTACCAGAAGTCAGGAAATCTTGGTTCAGATTTGATCTTGGACACTTACTAGTTATGTGGCCCTGGGCAAATGACTTAACCGCTGTTTGCCTCAGTTTTCTCAACTGTAAAATAGGGATAATAATAGCACCTACCTCCCAGGGTTGTTGTGAATGTAAGATGTGGTAATAATTGTAAAATATTTAACACAGTGCCTGACATATGTTAACTTGTATACATGGTAGCTATTTTTTATATTTTTTATGGAAATGTTAGATGGTATTGTTATGTCATTGTTCTATCAGCTTTCTCGTCTATTTTGAAGGCATTCTGTTTGAAATGGTCCTAACATGAGGCCCTATGCTGCTAGATTTGTAACGTGCTTTGCATTTCATCTTATTTGATCCTTATGACAACCCTAAAAAGAAGCTGTCACTGTTATTGTCAGTTTACAAATGAGGAAACTGAGGCAAACATCAATGAAGTGATTTCCCCAAGGTCATACAGCTAATAAGTGTCTGAGGCAGGGTTGAACTGTATCTTTCTAAGTCCAAGTCCATGATTCACAGTCCCCATATAAGGAAAAAATGTTTGTATTTCTTTTATATCAAACATTCTACTGCTTCTGTGATTCTGTTCCCATGATTCACTCTTTTGAGCCTCAGTTTCTTCATCATTTATGAGGGAGGCTGGACTAGCTGGACCTTGGTTCTCTCCCAGCATTAAATCCTATAATTGAAAAGACAGAATTAATCAGCTGGGATTTTTTTTAATGCCTGCTTTCCTATATGAAGAATGACAAGGAAAACAGCTAGCTAGTATTTCTTTAAGACTTCCTTCACAACCACTTTGGAAGGTGCTATTGGGCAAATATTATTTCTCTCCTTTTTATAGATGAGGGAAATAGAGGCACAGTGGAGATGAAGTTACTTGCCTAGAATCACACATGTAGTAAAAAACGGGATTTGAACCCAGGACCCCTGACTCCAAACCCAGTGTTCTTTCTCCTTTGTGGTGCTGTATAGACTCACCCTGGCAAAGGGATAGTTTGTCGTCCTTATGTGGAGTTTAAAAGAGAAAAAATAGCTGAACCCTGAAGTTCCGTAGCCTAGGCCTGCCAATTCCAGAAGGAACCATTTATTTTCTGAAAATGCAGAAATCTCTGCTTCTCT